TATGGCTTGAGGGGTAGTTTTGATTTCTGTTTGCCTGAGTTATGATATAAGCTGGCAAGAAGAGCTTAAGGAAGAATGTGGGACAAAGGTTGGTGAGTACAAGCAGGTGGGCAGTAAAGGTCAGCTCTTAGGATCTAGCTGGTAACAAAACCACTGAGAGAACAAATGCCACCATTGTGAGCAACACATGTTTTCCCTAACAGGCATGACTGGAATGGAAAAAAAAAATGCCACTGAGAAGGAGTATAAAAAACTTATATACATATGCAGGTGTACACTTTTGCAGTTGTGTTGATTTATGGTAGATATCAAGTAATTCTTCCCAAGAGCACAAAACACACCCTGTTCTCGTTTAAAATGAAGAGGAAATTTGTTGGATTCTGACTGTCTGATCATTGGACTTCTTCCTTTATGACATCCACACAAGTCGTGTGCTCGCTTCCCCAAGATGGCGGCCCCAAAGGACGGTTATGGCTTAGAAGTGGCCACGGGGAATGGGTGGCGGCTCCACCTAGGGATTACTGAGGTCCTGTTTGTGAAAGATGTAGATTCCTTCATGAAACAGCCTGGGAATGAGACTGCAGATACAGTACTAACGAAGCTGGATGAATAGTACCAGAAGTAAAAGTTTATGGAACTCAAACCTTGCTCAAAAGAAAAGGAGGCTAAAAGGCCAGATTCCTGAAATTAAGCAGACTTTAGAAATTCTAAAATACATGCAGAAGGAAAAAAGAATCCACCAGTTCACTGGAGACCGGATTCTTACTGGCAGATAACCTGTATTGCAAAGCTTCAATTTCTCCTACTGAAAAGTGTGTCTGTGGTTGGAGGCTAATGTAATGTTTGAATATGGTATTGATGAAGCTCAGGCATTGTTGGAAAAGAATTTGTTGACTGCCACGAAGAATCTTGATTACCACAGAAGTCAATATGGCCAGGGTTTACAATTGGGATGTAAAAAGAAGAAACAAGGATGATTCTACCAAGAACAAAGCATAATGCTGGCAATTAAAAATGTGGTTCAGTTTTCCAAACATGTTATTTTAAATACCCCAAAGTTTATCCCTAAATGTTGACATGACTTTGATTTTTTTTTAACAGCAGGAATGACAATTAAAACTAAAAAAAGATAAACACTTTATTATAAAAACGAAATTAGTTTCAAATATTTTATGAAATTAGCAGTATTTTCATTTTTTTTATTTCCAACAAAGTAAATCTACTTTCATCTTTTTTGGTTTTTCATAAAAATATTAGCTAAAATGGCTGAGGTATGCTATGGAAGCTGAATTCTGGACACTTTGCTTTATTGGCTGATGTTACTCTCACTTGATTTGGTTAAACCAATGTAGAGGTAGGAAAAACAGTTGAAATATTTCCAAACTTTTCTTTAGCACATATGGGGCTTTATGGCTCTCTGTTGCTGTTGTTTATCTTATATAAATGGATTTTCATTAATTACTGTTTAGCCAATAACAATTATAATATTCTGTGTTTTTCAGGAAATGGTGATTTGCCTCCCTAAACAGTAAGAGGGCTATCGAGATCCTTTTTTCTTACCCCATAGAAGTGCACAGTGTCTTTGCAATGCCAACATAAGGGAGATCTGGCCAACAAGAAATAATAAAATTCTTTAGCCACTCAGAACTCTTGGCTAAGGCAGTTTTGTATTTCTTAGCAGTTCTCCAAAGCAGCTGAACAAGAATTTAAGATAAATATGAATCTGCAGTGGTTGAAAATATTTGTGAGCTTTTTTATTCATGATAAAACCTCATAGAGTAGAAAAATTCCTGTGGAAAGCCTTTGGTACAGTGGCTAGCATTGGGTGATACAGATTCTGATAAAAACACAAATATATTATTCCATCTCCATGTAGTACAACATAGACTCGTACAATGTTTTGTATTTGTATATCGTGATATTAAAACATTGAAGTTAAAAAAATAACATCCACACAAACCAATCCTAAACATTCTTTACATTCTTGTGTTCCTTCTGTGTAGTATATGTCCACTACTGTTAAGTTGTGTTGAAAACCAGGTAATTTGTTGATGGCTTACTAAAATAAATAGTTAAAGATGCCTCTCTTGCATTTTATATTTAAATATATTTTTCAGAGACCTCATTTACCCTAAAACTTAATAGAAATTAATTTTCAAACAAAGGGATACTAAAGTAGCAATATATTTCATAAATAGTGTAATATATAATGAAAGGAGGTCTTTGTAAACAAATACATTTAATTTTAGTTAAGTGGATTTCTCAGGCTTTTGATAATACCATAATAGTCTATGGTATGATATTTTATGATTTTGTTTTAACTTTATACAACTTCTGATTCTGAACTTGATCCCCTTGCTTTTCTTGGAATGTGGGAAGATACTTAAAATTTTTTTCCTGAGGGGGGGTGTTGGTGTGTGTGTGTGTGTGTGTGTGTGTGTGTGTGTGTGTGTGTGTGTG